AGGGGGGGGGGGGGGTTCCCTAATCGCCGGACGGGCGAGACGTTCAAGATGATGGCGGGGTCTCGGCTAGGGCGACTCGACACCGTGCGGTCCTACGTACGGTGTGCGGCTAGCTTGGGCTTGCAGGACCGCCAAGTAGAGGAGGAACGAGGAGGAAGCGGACAAAGAAGAGGTGGAAGTGGTGGAGGAGAAAAGAGGAGGGGGAGGAGAAGGAGAAGGAGACAGAGGAGGTTGAGTGGGAGGAAGTCGTCTGCCCGTGGAAGGGTAGTGGCAGTGGTATGCCCCGCCGCTGGTTGTTCGTGTGTCGCGCCGACGGCGGCACGCGGAACAAGAGAGCCTACGGCATGAAGCGGTGAGAGGGGTTCCAGGCCGTGAAGTCCGTTCCTCCCCCGTCGGCAGGAGGCGAAGGGGGGGGCGCAGCCGACACCAGCCTGCCTTTCGTGCCGGACGGGAGGAAAAGAGGGGTGAAAGGCGTCGAGAGGCCGAAGGGGAAGACGTGCTTGCCGGGCAGCAGCAGCAGCAGCAACAACAACAGCAGCAGCAGCAGCCGCAGCCGCTGCAGCGGGAAGAGTAAAGGGTGGAAGGGGATGGAGAGGCCGGGGAGGGGGCTAGGGCAAGGGACGGAGGGAGGGAACAAAAAAATTGGCGGTGGCCGCGGTTGGCGAGCACGGCGTGGAGAAGCTTTCAAATCGAGAGGCACCCGGCTCAGAGCTAGCTGAGGGCCAGAGGAGAGAGCGGAGACCGACAATATCGACAGAAATTACGACCGGGTGTGCCAGCAAAAAGCAACTCCAACAACATCAGAGTTGCGCTCACCCCCCCGGAGGCGTGGATTCGCCTGCACTTTCCACTGGTCGGGGTGCCAAGACGGGCGGGGGGGTGAACGGGGGGGGGGAGGGGGGGCGCCGCGGCAAACGATCTATCCGCGAGGCGCGCGTGACCATACCCCCTCCTCCCCCCAAGGGGACTCGGGCTACCGTGTTATACTGGTGACCTGGGCAAGGGGTCGAGGGAGCGGGGGGCGGGGAATGACAAACGAATGTGAAATAATTTTGTAGCGATACGGGAGAAAACATACGCCGTAGCATAGCGGTGGTGGTGTGCGGTAGCAGAAGTATAATAGGTGCGGTGATGGTGAAAACGGTGTCTGTCTGTTCGCGGTTGCTTGTCGTGGGGAAGGGTTTGGTTGTTTCCCGGGCGTGTGGTTGTGGGGGTCTTGAGGCTGTCTTGTGGGTTGGAGTCGAGTCGGGAATGAGCGGCAGGTTAGTGGTACCACTAAGACAACAAAAAAACGACGGTTTCACGTAGCGGGGTACTACTAGTGAGTGTGCTTCGTTTGCGGTGGCGGCCGCCGTTGCTGAACAGCGCGCGGCCCAATGCTTGTTTTGTTTTGTTTCGTTTCTATTGCTCTTGTTCGGTGTGAATCAGTGATTTTATTATGGTTTGGGTCTGGTCTTTCGTGTGCACGCTCTTTTGCCAGAAAAAGGCGATGGGTTGTTGTCGGTTGCGTGGAATACCATGAGACACCCCTCTCTTGAGTGAAAAACGCCCTGCATTTGAATTGTTATTAAGTTTTCTGAATCTCCGGGTTGGGTAGGCTGTGAAATCTCCCCCCTGAGCATTGAGTACTGGTGACGTGTGTGCATGTGCGTGACTATCGTTTTACTATTCATGGTCGAAACAAGCCGCCTTTAGAACAATTTTACGGGGGCGGGGGGGATCGAATTATTGCACGGTTTGATTGATTAGGGTGGTGATTGTACTTGATGAGCATCTGTGTCTTCAGCGCATGCTAGTTTGTTGGTCGCCGTTTAGCCCAGCAAGTGTGCGTCGTTGGGGGCTTTTCCTAGAACCTTGAACGGACAGGGCTCCTGCGCTCCATATCGACGTGAACCGTTTTACAGCAGCAGGCAAGCGTCGCTACCGGTTGCAGGTTATGGCGTACCGCAGGGGCTTGCTCGACGTCGTAGAGAGTTTTGTACCTGGAAATGTGTTTTTTCTTGGCGCGGCGGTGGACGATGCGAAACAGCTTTCGGTCAGGTAGCGTTCCGCGCGATGTTGGGTGGTTGATGATTGCTGTTACCCTTTTGGTGGACTCCGTTGTGGACCTTGGGCTGATGGTGCGTGGAGTGGGAATTTGTTTCTCCTGGAGATTGGTCAAGCCATGGCTTGTTTTTGTACCGGTTGATAGGAACGATGCGCGAACGCGGGGCTCTTGGCGGATTGGCTGTTTCCTTACCCATATCTCTTTCTGTATGTCGTTCCAGGCAACTGCTGTTGTTATCCTGTGTTTTGTGCATCACACGCGAGACTTATGTTTTTTGTGGAAGGTCACCTCTATCGCTCCTTTTCTGCCTGAGAGTATTATGTTCTGGGTGGGTGTCTGTTTGCTTCGTGCGTTTCGGCCGTTCGTTGAGAGGTGTGGGAAGATGTGTGCATGCGTTTTTTTACGAGTACTTTAGGTCAGTTTTCCGGTTCTTGGGTGTATAGTATGTACCACGCTGGCTCTTGGTGATATCGCGGAAGCATGATTCCATGCGGGCCACTTGTCGTGTGAGATTGCGGGGGACGGGCAGGGCAGAGCACAGCAGCAACCTAGAGCCACATTGACGCCTGCCTGTGTTGTCCAATGTATCCTGTTGTTGTTGATGGCGGTACGGTATGGTGGAGGAGGAGATATAGGCGTCCGTAGATCTCTCTCCAACTCTCGACAACCGGCCTACTCCCTTTGCCTAAATAGCTACTGCCTCTGGCTTTGCCTGAGACGGACACAGAGAGCATCGAACAGAAGACGGCATTCATTCATTCTTTTCCGGCACCACACGCCGTGGAAATGTCGCGGTTGGTGGTCGATGGGAGAAAATCTGATTGGGCGGGATTAGACGGAACCGGTGGACCTCAACAACACCGCTTGCCGCGGGTTTTGCGCCGGTCATGTCATGCCCGTCAGTTTCTCCAGCAGTTGGCGTTTGCAGTCTTTCCCTTGCTTTGGTTGTTGTTTGTTTCTTTTATGGCGTGTGCAGATGACGATGTTTAGCTGCGTGTGTTGATCTGAGCTGGCCTGAAGAGGCGATGGTACTCGTTCCATTCGATGTTGAGTGTCCGTTTCCCAAACGCGCCGTTTTCACAGAAAATATTACAGAGTTTGTTTTATATGGCGTGTTGCGTTACATTTTTCCGATGGACGTACGTAGTACGCGGTGCAGCAAAATAGAAGTGCGGAGTTCCTGGCGATTTCTTCGCGTTCAGCGTCCCTTCCTCCCTGGTATGGTGTACCTGCTGTGTCTTTGTTACGAATGAAAGTGTGAAACGGTTGCGCCATTTGCTACACACTAGGCTGCCTGCGCCCCTGTACATACATGCTTGTTGTCTCTTGAACAGTCACACCGTAAAGTAGAGGAGGAATCATTGCCGGGCGATGAGTGATGGTACTGTTGTATGGCCAAGGGCCGACTTCTAGGGCACGGGCGTAGCTGTTAAAGTTGCCAGTGACTCTCGAGAGCTGGTTTTCGTGCGGTGCAGCATTACGGCCGGGTGGTGGTGTACTATGTGGGCGTGGCGTGAGACCGAATTAACGTGGTGGGTCAAGAGGTGCCACAAGTACGTCTAGACTGTACCATAGACACGTAGAATGAAAAGGAGGAGTGCGTTTGTGTGCGTAGTGGATACGAGGGAGAGAGAGAGAGAAGTCGACTGCCGCTACGTCAAGTGTACTCAATACAATACGACCGTCACCGCTCGTCCATTTTGACCAAGACGCGGTTCGTGGGACGGCCTTGCGCAATCATGTCGTGTCATCAGTGTGCACCAGAAAGCTCGAGGGTACAATGCCTTATTCCCCCCTCCCCCCAGCTTGATTTCATCGAGCATTCCACCTTCGGGGAGGAGGTAATCGCGGTGCTGCAACCCGACAATACCACTGCTGCTGCTGTGGTAGGCTACCCAGGTACTACACAGACCAGGTTGCCGTCCTCAAATATTTCATGCACAGTCCTCTGCCATCAAGAACGTTGTGCGTCGCAGTGCTACGTTGTGTCCCCCGGCAATACCCACGTAAGCGGTAGAGACTATTTATTGCACCTACCTTCATAGACTAAAGTCTATTCCTCGTCTTCAGATGCCGTCGGGATGGGAGGGTGTTCGTCGGGGGCGCCGGTCGGGTCGCTTGGACGGCCTTTCGCCTTCCGTGGCCGCGCCTCTGTCGCCATCGCTCCTCCGTCGTTCGTCGCCTTCGGACGCCCCTCGTGGCATACAGCCAACTGCGGCTCGCAAGTAAAAAAAAACGTGGTTATTAAGAAAATGACGCTGGGCCTTTGGTGGGAAATAAGAAAAGTCGGCTAAGAAACACATCCACCCTCAGCCGTTGATCCTACTCTAAACTCAATAGACTAGATTGACCTCTATGCTTGGAGACCGTGGTGACGAAATAAGAAAATTTACCCTCGCCCCCAAATTGATGTTTGTTATTCGCGGGCCGCAACTGCTGTCGCACGGAATACTGCTTCTTCGTGGAAAGCTACTGAAAATATGCTCCAAGCAGTGAGATGGCTCACCTCTGGACACTCTTGTCCGTTCAACTTTGTCGCCGCCTTCGTTCGTCGCGCCGCCGTCGCTCCGTCGTTGGTCGGACGCCCCTTGTAGCATAGCACTCTGTTGCGTGGTTGGCTACAGAAAAAATGAGTCTGTATGTTGACCAGCGAGAAAGATGATCCACTGAGCTTTATCAAACAACTAGACTACATAGGCGACTGTTGTACATGGTAGGTTGCCGGTGCGTAGCCGTGGGTCACGGGCTCGGCTCCAACACCTTTGTTCAATTCTTTAACGGGAATGAAGAACAGAGTGAAGACATCAATGCTGCTGCGTCGCCGACAGAAGAGTAGCAGGCCCACGGGCGTTGCTGCGGCTGCTTTATTATTACACCTGGCAAAACCCCCTGTCGAGTGTACACGCATGCTACTTAAAGTACAATGATACACTGCGACGCCGCTCTCCGTTGGGTGTTCACGTTGCATGGCGCTCGTACTGCATGTACTGGAGTTGTACCGTCTACACGAGAAAAGAGTTGTCTGTGCGTCTTGTCTATTTAGGCGGTACGTCGGTTTTACTTGCAGTACATACGTAGTCTACATACAACCCGTCGGTTTGCTGACGGCCACGAACAGCAGTGCAAAAACCTCTCACGACTCTTTTGAAAGTCTCTCTTCGGGTAACCCCCCCCCGTCACCACGAACGAACTCAACTTCTTCGTGGCGGTTAAAGGTTCCAATTGAAAGGTTCGAAGCAGCTGTACAAGACTAAGTACACAAATTGATCTTCGTACAGCAGTAGCTGTCCTTGGGGGGCAAAATAATAAACCCTTCATCTTGAATATCGTCGGACACCGTTGTTTTCATGGCACACGCTCGCTCCATGAATGAGTCTATCTACGACGAACTGGTGTTGTAATCGATCGACGGATCGACGTATCAGTCTACAACTAGTCTATGATTGTCTGCTGGTGTAACTGTCCGCTATAGTCTGTTCCCGATTCGAGGACGTGGGGAAACGGCAGTATATTTATACATGGTTGTGGCAATCTACACTGAAGCCTGATGGTGCGCCCCCCTGCCGGTCGGTGGTCAGCACAGAGAGCAGTGCGGTCATTATCGCCGTAATAGGGTCCGCCCAAAAGACGTCGGTCGGCGGCGTGGTCGGCGGCGCGTGCATGATGATGCGCGGCGTCGCGTCGGGGGAAAAAAAACGAAAAACATGACATTTTCGGGCGTTACATCATGACCGATCTGGGGACCGCATTTTCCCAGCGAAACCCCCCTGAGGCGGTCTCCCTGCCTGCTGCTGCGCAGCCAGAAGAAGACATCAGCATATTTATTCGGGGCCTTTGAGAGAGAGAGAGAGAGAGAGCAATCTGCCGCGGGGTTGTGGTCGTGCGAGCGGTTTGGGTGTGTGGACCGCCGCCGTCTTCTGGCTGATTGGCGTTCACTTGGGGTCACTTGGTCCGTGGGCTCTCTTTTTTTGAAAAGGCTTCCGAGACACGACGCACACACGCCCAAGCACACCGGCGAGCAGCGTAGTTGCGCGGCGGGAGGAGGAAGGAGCGGATCTGCAATTGGGGTTGTGTGCAGGGGACCGAAGGATTAAAGACGGCGGGGCGAGGAGGAGCTGTATCATCATCATCATCATCATCATCCCACGCGCCAATGGATGCCTACGAGAAGCTGGAAAAGATCGGGGAAGGGGTGAGGGTGTGAGAGCAAAAGCAAAAAAGGCGCACATGATTTGTTGTTGTTTTCAATTTTCAGCACCACGCGTTCACGTACACATGTCTCTCCAAAAGAGGCGGTGCTTGTTGATCATCTGATGGTTGCTCGCTTTTGCGCCAAAACACACACACACACACGTGCCGTTGTCCCTCTTCCCTCTTTGGTCCGCTCGCTCCGCGACCTACACTCGCGCCTTGGTACCACGCGTTTGTAGCACTTTTGTTTTTCCCGCGCGCGCGACTGACTACGTACTGCTGCTGCTGCGGGGCAGAGATGGTGATTTTGTTCGTGTCTCTTGTTGGCCTTGGATGGGTGGCATCATTTTCTTGATTGTTGCAGACGACCTTCCAACGCAAAATGTACCCACAGATTCACAGATTCAGACTCCCAACGGACGCCGTTTGTCTGTTTGCCCCACATCACAAAGAGTACTCTATTTCGTTGGCAGTTAGCTTCACAGCCTGCAGCACAACAACAACAGCAGAGGTCGATTGATTTTTGTGCCCGAGCGAACAAAACATTAAATACTTTTCAAATATGTTGCAACCCTGGCGCTGTTGTTTCACATGCGGTGTTTCACTATAATAGCAGCAGTGTTGGTCTGCGCAGCACTTCTGCTGCTGTACGCCGCGGAACATTCTGTCAAAAGCCCACACACCGATCCGCACCGGTCCCGCCCGCTGCTGCTGTTGAAGGAACTGCTGTTGCGTGTGTATGTACCAAGATGCCATATTTTGCTGCAACAAGCGTCTGCCACTGCTTTTTTCAAAAATATTCAGCAGGAGGCACGTGTAGATCCCGTCGGGCGCCTGCTGCCGTGGTTGCTCTTGGCTTGGCATGGCAATCCCCCCATCTCTTCCGTAAAAGTAGTGCTCGCCGCCTGCAGCAACAACAACGACCCGTTCCCTGCATTTTTCCGCACTCCACGTAGGCCCCCGACGAACGACTTTTTTGGGGGCAGTTGTGTCTACAGAGAGAGAAACCCACGGGCAAACCATCGTATGTACATATCACCTGGTGTTTGAACTGCTCGTGATTTCGCAAACAATGGCGGCAGCAGCCGCACATGCAAAAGAAGAGCAGGTTTATACGCATTTTGGGTCGACAGGTAGCACCATTTTGTTTACATACCCCCTCTGTAGATCAAACGGGTGGCGGGCTGTATGATAGCTGCTTGGTGTCTGCGGGCGACGTTTTTCTCGTAATTTTTAATTTACGAACGCTTTTGAGGGAGGACCAAAGTTTCGAGGCGAAGAGGATTGAGGGCGTGTTTTTTTTTAAATAAATAAATGGACGTAGCATGCTCCTACTGCTGTTGCATCCATCCCCGATCTCGCCGAGGATCCACAGCAGGGGCATTGACACTGCTGTAGTAGCGCGCATTGTTTTTGTAGGATCAAGACTTTCCGTTTGTTGTGAGCTTCGTGTGTGCGATTTGTTTGTCCAACAAAGGCCAGTCGAAGTATAAGTTATCCCGCCCGGATCGGAGTCTTTCGTACCCCTGACCACGCTGCCTGCACTACAGCTGCTGTACTTGTTCCTTATCCTTTATCCAGAGTATTTCGTTCACACATCTGTACATTCCGGCTGTGTTTGCTTGTCTTGTGTGAAGCTCTTTGTGCGCTCGAAAAGTGCGCTTTTGTAGGAATAGTTATGTACGTATGCTTACCACGGTTTTTTTCCTCGATTCGATTCCCCAAAAGGTGGTACGTACCCGCGAGAGCTGTTCTACTTCTATTATAGTATAGCGCCTCCTACTCTGTACGTCCATGTACCTCCGCGTGGTCGTCCTGCGGCACCCTTTCCTTCTTCACATGGTACATGAAGCCGCTCGCTATCCTAGAATAACGCATAAAGAGAACACGCGCACTTGAGACCGTCTCATTTAAATTTTGTTTTGGGGGGGGGCTGGTGTTCCCGCTGTAGTTCTTTTATGCTACGCTACGAATGGCGGCTGTATAAGTTTTTGTGTTGGGTTTCTTAAACCGAGCTCACAAATGGTGCTCAAGTTCTTAGATTCGGAGTCCTTTTGAAAGGCTTGATTTTTCTTAGTAATTGCCGAAGTTCTTATTGAAGTGCGGGCGCGCTTCCTGCAGTTCAGTACCGTAAACTATGGAGTTTTCCCCCCGGGGAGGGGGTCGTTTTTTTTTTCTGAAACCAACCCCCCCCGGGGGAAATCGACGTACCGCGGGGGGTTAGTTTTTTTTTTCCAACGCTATTTTTTTTTTGGTCGAAAACGATCTACCCCGGGGCTAAATCAACGAAACCATGCAAAAGAAACGTCACGGCAGAAACAACCCTTGGCCACCACACGCACACACACGTGCTCTCGCTCGCCCCCGGTAAACACGGCGAAGCGAGTAGACTGAAAACAGAAACCAACACGCTCGTCCGCTTCCTGCTTTCTGATTGGCCAACGGTTTATTTCTGCCGCTTCTCACAAAACGCAGATTTCCCTTACTTCGTCAGTCAATCTTTCGCTTCCAGGACGAAAAGGTAATGGGGGGGGGGGAAACTCAGTAGTTTCACGGATTTCCTCGCCTGCACCCGCCAGCCCACACCCGCCCCCGGGGAAAATCTGCGTCCAAGGTTTCGGTTGGTCGCATCTTTCGGTTGGTCGCATCTCTTTCACCAAAACAACCAAAAAGAGTAACAAGTCGGAAAATAATACTTCAATACAAAGGATATTAATAATAATAATAATAATATCAATAATAATAGGGGTTCGAGTAGCTTTTTTTTTGCCTGGGCGGGTTCAAAATGCTCCGCTCTCCGCTCGGTAGACTCTGTATCTATCTGTGTATGGAGATGGGTCCTTGTGTTTCCGTAAAAAAACTGAAACCCTCCCGCCAAACACAGCTTGAAGTCTGTGTACATATTCCTCTCTTGACATTGTTGCAAAGGTGGCTTCCGTCTTTTGCGTCGTTCCATTTTTCACGTTTGAGTGGAAGGTCGAGAATACGTTAACACATGGGGGACGATTTTTAAGGTTGGTTTCGTATCCACGATGGGATGGGGCAGGTGACACCGCACGGGTCGGTAGGAATCACGGCGTGTTCGCACGTACGTACGGCTACCCGACAAGACTTTGCATGATCGTATGCATACAGGTAGCATGTGTAGGTGTGCTTTACGTTGCCCGACCAAACAGGATCTTGCCTCGGATCCAAGGAGGTGGGGGGGTGGGGCGTGGGGGGGGGGCACGCAGAATCTGTCGTTTGTTTCCCCCCCCCCGTGTCCAACAACGTAGGCAGGTACGCCCCCCCACACCCTCGGGCTGTATCTAACTCTCCCTTGTTTCTCAATGTGCTGTGTGTGCGTTTCATTTTCATGACCTTTTTGGGGCGTTTTTTTTTCTCCATCTTTTGTGCTCCTTCTGTAGGCTTACGGCACGGTGTACAAGGCGAAGATCATTCGAACGGGGGAGGTGGTGGCGCTGAAGAAGGTCAAGCTGCAGGAGCAGGATGAGGGCGTGTCTTCCACCACAATGCGGTGAGCGAGCCAGCGAGCTATGCCCGCGAGACCCCCAAGTAGCGGACGGCATGTGGTACACGACCGCCCGATCGCCTGATGCAAGAAGCGAGAAAGAAAATATAGGGCGGGAGTTTGTTTTGCCCGTTTGCGGTGGAGCGACCGAGCGGCGAATTCGCCCGTCCTCACCCGTGGCGGGCGGCCTCCCGCGTGCCGCTTTCTGGCGGCACAACGATGTTTGTGTTTTTGGTTGGTGCGTGCGATTGGTGTCACCGATGTTTTGGTGTTTGTGGTTTGGGTTGTTGCTGTTGTTGCTGTTGTGGTTTGTGATTGCTGCTGCTATATAGGTGCCTGCCAGCTGTTTGTATGTGTGTTTTTGGGTCCTCCCGTGTGCGTGTGGACGGTCGTGCCGACATCCATCCCGTGCGTTTGCTGCTCTCGGCTGTCGCAGAGAAATCTCGCTCCTTCGAGAGCTATGCCGCCACCCTTGCGTGGTATCCCTGCACGACATCCAGTACGCCACCACCGATGTCTTGTACATGGTCTTCGAGTACATGGACCAGGTACGTATGTACAATACGGCGACGTATGTACAATACGGCGTGTATGGTAGTTTTCTCCCTTTTTCCGTTTCCAGAAAATTTCGACTGCAACTTCCACAAAAAAAAAATTACCGTGCGGTTCCTATATGTATTTATTGCACGTTCGTTGTGTGCTTGGGTATGCATAGCATCTTTTCTTTTTCTGCTGTATCGCGTGGAAGCCGCGTGTATTTCGTGCTTATGGTTGGAGCCACGTGGGTATGGATGAGCGGCGTACAGTAGGTGTAGTACCTCCTGGTTGACCTACCCCGTCTGTACCAGGGTAGCTGATTGAGAGAGCGACAGAGCGAGATAGGAAGAAAGGCAAGCGGATTAGACGCGAACGATGCATGTGTACAAACATCTCAAGAAAACAGGCGGGGTTTCCTGTGTCTTTTCGGATTTCGCGACCGTCACACGTTGTGGTACAATAGGTGTGAAGACGACAAGGAGGGTGGAGTGCGGCATGGTTGGCGCTATGTTGCTGCTGGTGCTGTGTCGGATGTATCTATCCAACTGGATACGAGGTATCACTGAAATGGTCGGCTTCTTGATGCTCATCACCTGTCTCTCTCTCTCTCTCTCTCTCTCTCTCCCTCTCTCTCTCTCTCTCTCTGTCTCTCTCTCTCCGTGGGGCTCCTTTTGACGGCTCCGCGTTGGCGGTGCTTTCCAGGACCTGAAGAAATACCTCGACGGCCTCGCCAGAAAGGGGCAGCAGCTATCGCCCCAGATCATCAAGGTGTGCGCGTGTTGTTTGAGCGTTGATGCCGCCGTTGTGTCAACTTTTGCCATACCTGGCGTTGTGTCAACTTTTGCCGCTTTTGTTGTTATGGTTGTTGTCCTGTCCTGGCAACAATTAACCTTCGTACATCGTGTAACGCCTACGCTTGTTTGGGGGTTGTACTGCCCCCATGGTTGCACAAGAAAACAGACAACAGTAACGCGGTCTGCGCTGGCTGTCACAGGGTGCTGCGGGTAGTACCTTGCCCGCCCAACGCTACCGCAGTTGGTGCATAGTGCAAAGGTGCGATGAGAGCAGATGTGGACACTGTAACCACGGACAGACAGCATCTTGAGGATGAGTGGTGGGATAAATTATGTGTAAATCGGTTGGTTGGGTGCTCAACGACTCGAAGCCGGGTGTGGGTTGTCTAGTCACTTTGCTTGCTCCTACTTCTGTCTGGTCTGTCTCGTGAGAGAGCCTCATGACCGATCCATGCACGTAGTCGCTCTCTGCCGCTGTAATCTCTCCTTCGGGCAAAACACAGCAAGCCGTGCCTTCTGGCCTTGCCTCGCCGTACCACCTTACGAGCACTTCTCGCCCTCGCTGCTTTGAGGCTGTTCGGCGACTTCCGAACGACGTCGTCTTCGGTCTACCGACTATGATACTATCGGATCCATGGTCACAAAGTACGCTCACGTACGTGAGAGGTTTCCAGCATTGTACTCCCCCCCCTTACTCCGTTTCCCCCGCCGCGTCCCCCCCACCCCCTCCGCCCTCCGTTGCTGCCACACGCACAGTCGTATCTCTACCAACTGCTCCACGCCGTGAGGTTTTGCCACAGCAACCGCATCCTCCACAGGGACCTGAAGCCGCAGAACATCCTGATTGACGCGGAGGGGAACCTCAAGCTGGCGGACTTCGGCTTGGCGCGGGTGAGAGAGGAGAGGCTCTCTCTCTATTAGCACTGCCGTAGCGAGCCGCTGCCGGCGTCTCAATTCCTGTGCGCTTGGTTGTGACGGTGACGTTCCGTCTCGCCTGTGGTCTCTCACGACCCCCCGCTGTTGCTCCACCGCCTTGCCCTACCCTTGCCCTACCCCCAAAAACGCTCCCCCCCCCCCCCCGGTGTCCAGGTGTTCACCGTCTCCAAAAGGCAGTACACCCACGAGGTGGTGACGCTCTGGTACCGGCCTCCGGAAATCCTTCTGGGCTGCGACTACTACGGCACCTCCGCGGACATCTGGTCCGTGGGTTGCATCCTCGCAGAACTCAGGTGTGGACAAGCGGCTGGGCCGAACTACATAAGTCTTTTTTTTTTTTGCGCCGCCGCCGCCGCCGCCGCCGCCGCGCGCGCTGCATGAGATGGCAACGCACCCGGCCGGCACCGAGGAGTTTTTTTTTTTTTTCGATTTTCGAATGGATGCCTGGACGACAGCTATACGTACGAGCTGCTGCTTTGTTGACAATATCGAATGGAGCTCAAGAGTGACAATGTCCTCTCATCATGTATGCATATTCATGCACACGCTTAGTATTGTAGCAGCAAGGTGTTCTCTTTTTGAAGTCCTCGGAGCTGCAGGATGGAACCGTTCTCTTTCGTGTCCTGTGAAGCGTCGTAGCTGAGGTGGTTATTTTCGTGTTCGTTTTCCTCCCCACGTGACCTTAGCAACTTATGTCCGAGCCCTTCAACGGCGTTGCTGCTGTGGTCAATTTATTTTCGTTTTCCTCCGCACGTTGGCCTCAGCAACTTGGACGTCCTGTTCCGGGGTAACTCCGAGATCGACCAACTCTTTAAGATTTTCCAGTCGCTGGGCACGCCGGGGGAGAGCGTGTGGCAGGGAGTGACGTCAATGACAAACTACTCGACCGCGTTCCCGAGGTGAACACTTTTTTTTTTTCCTCGTGCATGTTTTTTTTGCCTCGTTTTGCAGCTTCGGTTGCCCACGCTGGCGAGAGGTGTAGGGAGCACAAACTGAACCATGGCTGTGCGTGCGTGCGTGAGTACTGTCCCAGTAGCCCGTTCCTCCCTTCCTTCCTTCCTTCCTTCCTTCCGTCTTTCTCCTCCGCTGTTCATCGTTGACGACGTGAAGAAGCTCTTTCGCCGGTATCCGCACTCTGTGTGAGGGGGGGGCACGCGTCCAAGAAGCCAGTCGAACTGGAGGGATTCTGCTCCATTATTTTCTCACCCCGGGCCCCCCCTGCCCAAATCGATCTTTCCTTCACGTTGGCGCGCGGCGCGATGGCCAGGTTCGTGGCGAAGGATATCAGGAGAAGAGTCCCCAGGATGGAAGCCGAGGGCGCGGAGCTGCTGAGGCAGATGCTCGTGTACGAGCCGGGCTCCCGCATCACGTGCGCGCAAGCGCTGCAGCTGCCGTACTTCCTGTCCGTGAACCCTCGCACCGCGATGCACGTCGCCGGCCAGCGCTCGGCGCCCTCCCCGCCATGATTTGAGAGGGGGGGGGGGGGGGGGGTCGATGGCGTGTGTGTGTATGTGTGTTGCTCTGTATGTCTTTACTTGG